ACACATATACACACACATATACACACACACACATACACACACATACACACACACATAAACACATACAGATACATATAAACACATATACACATACACATGTATATGCACACACACACACATAAACACACATAAACACACACAGATACATATAAACACATATACACACACACATACACACACACAAACACATACAGATACATATAAACACATATATACACACATACAAACACATATACACATACACACGTATACACACACACACACACACACATATATACATACACACATACACATACAAGCACAGACACACATGTGTGCACAAGGGGGCAAGGGATGGCTCTGCATATAAAAAGCTTACTGTAAAAACATAAAGACCTGAGTTCCGGTCTCCAGAACACACAAAACCGGATGCAGTCGTAGACATCTGTAATCCAGCGTGCCTGAGGTGAGATAGGAGGTAGAGACATGGGAATCCCCAGATCACTTGCGCCAGCCTCCCTGGCATCTGCATCATCAGACAACAAGATTCCATCTCAAGTGAGGTAGGAGTCGAGGACCAACACCTGAGGCTGTTCTCTGACATCTATACATGTATTGCATGGTGTAGGCATCATATTTACACACATGAATATGTATGTGCACACACACACACACAAACAGAGAGAGAGAGAGAGAGAGAGAGAGAGAGAGAGAGAGAGAGAGAGAGAGAGAGAGAGAGAGAGCCAGTTATACTGGTGCCCACTTGGAATCTCAGCACTGGGGGTTAGGGTGGAAACAATGGATCCATGGGACTTGCCTGCTGCCAGGCTAGTCTACTTGGAAAGTTACAAGCAAGTGAGAGACCCTGTCTCAAATAACTGTGTGGCTGGTGTTGAGGAACCGCCTTCAAGGCTGTCTTCAGGCCTTCATGGGCATGCACACACATGAGCACAGACACACAACAGGGAACCGGGGTGATGACTTCACCTGTGATCTCAGCACTAGAGAGGCTGAGGCAAGACGATCGTGAATTTGTGGCCATCCTGGGCTACACAGAGAGGGCTTGTCTCAGCAAATGAACAAAAAAGAGACAGCCTTGCCCTACAACAGCATTACATGTGTGTTATGCTTTATATCAGCTGTGCCTCTATGGGCAGACAGACATCATATGAACATCAAGTTCACCAACCGGGTATCAGTAACCCAAGAAAGTCTAGCACTTATTTCTAGAAGTTTCTAAATGTATTTAGGATGGTCACATTTTGAAGTCTTCTCCCTTTGAGCTACTGCATGTGACATTGACTGCAAGACCAGCCGCCATGCGAAGCAACCCCTGCTCCTCTCTGAGAAATAACTGCAGAGATGAGGAGCTGCCGTGCGTTCTGAGTGCAAGGCCCCGAAGCACCGATTCCCACACAGTCCCCCTTACAGTCCCCCCAGGGGCCTTTGCCAAAAAGGCCTCCTTGACTTTTATCACAACTGTTGATGTAACCAACCATCTTATTAAATAAGAAACACAGAAACAATGTAAAAGAGAAAACCGAGAGGTCAGAGCTCAGAGCTAAAATCTCACCCTTCCTCCTGCTGTCCCAGCTTCGCAAAAGAGAGCTACTTCCTGTCTGTATGCCTTTTTTATAGTATTATTGTTCTGCCTTCTCATTGGTTGTAAACCCAAACATGTGACGGCCTCGTCACTGTCTGAATGCACAGCCCCCTAGGTCTTAAAGGCATATGTCTCCAATGCTGGCTATATCCCTGAACACACAGAGATCTATGGGATTAAAGGCGTGTGCCACCACCGCCACACTCTTGCTATGGCTCTAATAGCTCTGACCCCCTGACAACTTTATTTATTAACATACAATCAAAATCACATTTCAGTACAATTAGAATACCACCACACACAACCCCACACTTTGGAAGTGTTTTCAGCTCCCCGGGACTGGCCGACTTTTCACCCACTGCGTTCCCTCTTTGCTCTTCCTCCTTGTCAGCCTTGTGCAAATGAAGTCTTTAAAACTTGGCTAGGGTCAGGTGTGATGGGGTACACCTGGAATCTCTGCACCGGGAACCTGTGAGTTCAAAGCCAACCTCCCCCTTATCTGAAACGAACAACAGAGGAGACTGGATTAGGAGAACAATGAGGAGCAGCATCCAAAACTCTGAGGCAGAAGAATGACCACGAGTGACAATGTGAACAGAAGAGCATCCACGTGCCTTTGATCGATGGATGGGGCTGCTGGGAAGGAGAGGAGGGCAGGTGTGGAGGTGGCGAGTATACTGTCATTCCCATCTGCGTTTAGGGATGTGGGGACCCACTTATATGTTAATGGAGCAGCACAGAGGAGAGGCTGGAGACTAAAGAAGGTTTCCACTGTGAGCGCCTACCACGGGGGTCTGGGGCAGCTGCAGTAAACTCTAACATGAGGCAGGGCAGTGGGAAGGAGCATCCGAACTTGGGTTTATTGTTCAGGTTTACAGGGATTCTACCTACTACTTTCTCGTCCTCTTCTGAATTAGAAGGCTGTCTGAAGATGAGGGGGAACCCTGTAAGCTCTAAAGTCTGAGGAGGGTGGAGAAGATTGAGAGAAAACCCAGAAGTGAGCACAGAAGGCTGGTGAGGCAGGTTGAAGCTGGACATTACGAAGTTAACCACTACTAACCAGTGTGCTTTTCACATCCGCTTCTTTACCTGCCCGGATGTCTACCCCTCAGCAGGCTTCCAGCTTCTGGGAGACAGGTGTCATCACAGACTAGAGTCGGAGCAGACCCTTCTGGAAAGGCCGGTGCATAGCTCTTACCCAGGCCTTCCTTGCCTTTTCCCACCAACCCTTAACCCGGAAGACAGAGGCACTGCATCTGCCTCCACGAGGGGCCATGTTGTCTGTGATGGCTCTTCCCCGATCCCTTTACTCCGACCATTTCCCAGGGAATACATCCACACCTGCATCAGGGCTGCACAGTAAATGAGACATAGATGCTGCCCGGATCATTACTCCAGGTTGCAGTGAGTCCAACAAACAGAACTACAGAGCATTCCGGATATTATTAATTACATGGCCTAGAGCCCAGACAAACCAGCAGCTAAAGAGAAGCTTATATGGCTCTGTGTCACCTTCAAGCACCTTTTATATGCAAATACTCCAAACCACCTGCGCATGAGACATGGGCTTTACTACAGCCAGGCTAATGATTTTCGGGTTTCCTCAGGTATTTAAGGATCACGCGATTGATGGAGAAACACTGCCCCTTCTCACCGAGCACCATCTTCGAGGCACCATGGGGCTGAAGCTTGGGCCAGCACTAAAAATTCAGTCTCAGGTAGGCAGGTAGTTTAGTATATAGCAATGATGGAAAGCCCGGGAGAAATGGGCCACGTTACGGTGTTGTAATATTAATATATAGAATGCTTATTTAGTCCCCTTCCACCTTCCCCCTCTGTAACTGAGGATGTGAGAGAAGTGAGGGAACCTGGAAACACTTGATGAGGGTGGTACACATTTCGAGATGCGGCGGGGAGGCAATAAGCCGCCGTGTGCTGGTGGATGGTTAGCAGTTCTGTCTCTTTATAAAGAGAAACAGGCCCTGATTTGTAGCTGTCATGGTGTCAATGACTCTAAGTGATGAGTTCATAAATGTCAGTGGATACAGAATTGGGAAGAGACACATAGCAACACCTCATTTCTGAGTACACCATATGTAACAGGCATGTTGTATCTCAGTGTAAATATCTCTAAGAACATAGAGATACTCCAAATACTTATTACTTCCATTTGCCATATAATGTAATTTTAGGCTTATTTAAGTTTTAATGATGACATGTTTCAACAACTAGCTGGCAAACTTCCTAAAAGAAAAAGAATGGTAATAATTGGCTCCTGAGGGCTGGACTCCAGCACCATCAACTGTCATTGACGACTTCACTACCAGATTCCAACCTCTGCTTCTTCTCCCTGCTTCTGCTCTTCCCAAACCAGAGTCACCCACATGGTGTGAAAGGTGACTCCATGCCTAAGACAAATCATGTCGCTCCTCTGCTGCAGACGCTGGAGTTCCTTCAGAGGTAGCGTTTGTGCTCAGCACTGCGGTGCAGCACTTCCAGCCCCCAGCCTCATCTTCCCCTGCCCACCAGCTGCACCGCTGGGCTGCTGCTCACCTGCTGGGCTGCTGCTCACCTGCTGCTCACCTGCTGGGCTGCTGCCCACCTGCTGCTGGTGGGTCCTTGAACATTCCGGCATATTCTCCCCTAGGGCATCGCGCTGTCTGGAGGGCCCTGCCTAATGGCCTCATTCTTTGCTCCCTCATCTTTTGGAGGGTTTTGTTTGTTTGATTTTGCTTTCTTAATTGTTTTGTTGTTGTTAGTTTTTTTTTTCTTTCTCTTTGTTCTGAGGGTCTCAGTCTGTATTCCAGGCCAGCATCAAAGTTACAGAGAATCTCCTGCCTCAGCCTTCGCAGTACTGGAATACAGGCTAGAGCTACCACGCTTGGTCCTTACCTCCGTCTTTGTTCGATCGCTCCTTCTCAGTGAGGCTTGCTCTGCTCACTCTATGTAAAGCCTCACCCTGCCCAGCCCCCCTGTAGCCTGCTGATGCCTCTCTCTCTGCTCTTTTCTCCTCATAACACTTCTGACCCCAACCATAAATATAATCTATCTATTCATTCTGTACAGTTTTAATTGTTATTTCCCTCTGTCCCCTTCATAAGAGAAGGAATCTTTACTCTTTTGTGAGCTTAGAGCATACAAAGTCTCATAATAGATCATGTCTTTAATTAAAGAGTGAACTGTCTCAAATGAAACAAAATTCAACAATTAGTTTGTCCCCAAATTTATGAAGGCCTGCCCCTGTTTGCCAGAAATATTTACATCAGGATCTAGAACTTCAGAATGTTCTTTTAGGGCTGGAGAGGAGGCTTGGTTGGTAAATGATGCTACACATGCACAAGGAACTGAGCTTAGATCCTCTGCTCTCATGGGAAGACAAAAAAGCTGGACACGGTGGCATGTACCCGTAATCCTGGTGCTGCTAAAGGCAGAGACCCCTGCAGCGCCCCGGCCTGCCGGGCTTACCAAATCAGCCGCAGCTTCGGTAAGACTTTCACTAAAAAACAAGGCGGGAAGCAACAGAGGACGACAGTCGGCGTGGACCTCCTGCCTCCACACACACCCCCTCATACACATAAACATGTACACACACATCCACACAGCTCCCCCCACCCACATACACACAACACACACAACTTTTAAAAGAAAGAATATCCTGCCACTATCATTTTTATTTGTCTAAAAATTTTAGGATATAGAAATTCTTTTAATTACTTTTAATTTTATGTGAATAAGTGTTATTTCTGCATGCATGTCTATTGCCCTGTATGTGCCTGGTGCCCATGGGAACCAGAAAAGGGTACCAGATCTCCTGGAACTTGAGTTACAGACACTTGTGAGTTGCCTTTGTGGGTGCTGGGAATTGAACTCGAGTCCTCTAGGAGAGCAACAAGTACTCTAGCCACTGAGCCATCTCTTGAGCCTGGAAACTACTCAGCAGAGCATGGGAGTACCCAGCTGTAATCCCAGGGCGTAGGACACTGAGACAAAAAGATAGTGAGTTCAAGTCCAGCCTCGAAGTAAAAGAGAAAGCGAGAGAGGAGGTCTACGGTGAGCACTCAACACTTGATGTCCTCACCAGGGCTCTGATGTGGGGCTGGGTGTGTGTTTGTTGTTTGCTTTAACTTCTTGTCTTAGAATGGTTTTAGAAGTAGTAAAGTTGTAAAATTAAGATAGACAGTTCCCCCTGCTATTCCCAGTGTTAGCATGACATCATAGGTAACAGGGATACATTTGTCAGAACTAAGAACTAACATGGATACAGTGTGGAACTATTTTTAAGTGACTTCCTTCTTTAGTGAGGATACTGTCTCTCTTGGCATACTTACAGACAATTCACGGGTCAGTTCTGTTCAACTTTGATTTGTTGTTCTTTTCTGTGTTCCCCCATGTGATAGCTTTTCCTCCCTGAAAGCCAGTGGAGCGGTTAGATCCTGGGTACCAGCTGCCAGCTGGGGAAGGCCCCATAAATAGCAGTTGTCAATCAAAGAAGAGTCGTCAAGTCCTTGTCACTGGGAACCAAAGTAGCAGAGTTGGAAGGCTCTGGTTAACACTCGAGAATTCAGAGGGCGAACAAGCAAGAGTTTGCCATTGAATAAGATAATAAGGTCTGGGTACCCAAGATGGAAACTGAGGGAATCCTCATGACAGTGGACATGAGCAGGAGTAAAGAACCACCCCCTTGCTGAGACAGAATCCTAGAGGATGGATCTGAGCTGGGCATGCAAGGAAAAGGGCGGGATTTGGAACTCTACACATTAGCAGAGCACAGGCAGTTTGGGGGTTTGAATCATGCAGATGTGGCCTGGCTTCCATCCAGGGCCAAGTTTTTCAAAGCAAGGGTGATGGAACCCCAGTGTAGGCGCCCAATGGTTAGCTAGCATCAAGGTACAGCTCCCAGAGCAGCCCGACTGTGTCTCACTGGTGACCGGTAGGTGTTAGAGTTATTTGAAGAATTTTGGCCTGGTCCAAGAAAAGCTGGCTGGCTTTTGGTGGAGACATAGTAAAGCAGGAAGGTGGGCTGGACCCAGAAGGAGACTGATTTGGGGCAGAGGATCCACAGCAGAGCCAGAGAAGAAATGGAAACTGGGAGACACCAGATACCCAGTTTTACAGCTGTAAGTGTTGAATGACTCTGAAAAACAAGTAAGGCCTACCACAAACTAGAAGTGTGACCTCCTCCATCTATACAGATGTTCCATGTCTGAAATTACCTCAGCCTCCCTGCCCTCTCCCCCATGGTTTGCAGGGTTTGTTATCAAAAAAAATTCAGGCTTAATTACTGTAATTATTTTGTCTTCAAAGGTATCTCAGCATGTTGGAAATATGTTCTGTAAGAAAATTCCTTCACTTCCCACCCACGCAAGGCAAGCATTTGATCATCCAGCAGACACATCCCCTCTTTTGGATATTAATTCCTGGAGTGATGGTTTGAGCATCCCTTGTTCCCAGGATATAATGATTCCCAAAAGAGCTGAGCAAGACAGTATGAGAAATTAAAAACACTCAAAGACAAATAAGTCACTCCCAGTTTTCTAGAGTTGCAGACGTTCCCCGCCATGTGTGAGAGCTTCCTGGGGCAGGTGGAAGACATGGAGAGCGAGACCATACTAGCGTTGTCTTGGGAGGATCTTACCCAACAAGCTTCCTGCCACGCCAAAGTGACCCAGGTGCCAAGGTTCTGGAGAATTGTCCTTAGAGAAAATGCTAATGGGGAGGAGAATTCGCAAACATCTGCAAGCCTCAGTCTGAGGCCTCTGTGAGGAGCACTCTGAAGAAGCTGACGGCAGAACCTGAAAAGGAACTCCATCTCCTCACTCCTTCTACCCTCCAGCCCTGGGGGAGACACAGGCTCTGATTTGAGGAGGCAGAAGCGGAAGGCAGAGAGAAGCTGACCACGGATGCCTGCCTTATCCCACTACAGGCAGTGTCTAGCCCGGGGTGGCCTCATGAGGGTGAAGTTAGGATTTGTTGGAGGGGTGGGGAAAGTCATCTGTATGGTGCAGGCTGGAACTGGCAGGAGGGAGGTGATGGTTGAGGTGACTGTCTGTTCCATGTGGCGTCCCAGTCCTCCACTTAACGCTTGACAGAATGACTCCAAAAGGACACAGAGGAATATGACAATTCAATCAAAGAGGACTAGCTGGCAGGCACAGGAAAAGGTCTTATTTTGAATGTTCTGAATCGTAAACCATGAGAAGGTGTGTCTATTTTTAAAATTCACACTTCAAGTGAACTAACCCTGGCAGGAAGTCTTTCAGATAGCCCACAGTCCCATGGTCTAGTACACTTGCCCGTAGAGTGGGCTGGACCAAAGAGTTCTTCCTAATGTGGCACAACCTTAAGGCCTGGCAGGGATCGCTCCTGTGGCTTCTGTCTGTCTTTCATGTCACTTTCCATCTCAAGCAGCCCTGGGTAGAGAGCTCCACATGACGAACCTTGACAGTGGACACTCAGAAGCCTGCCAACAGCCTCATGCCATTCAGGTATGAGAAAGTGCGGTAAGTCTTGGCCCACAGCCTGACTCCAGCTCACAAGACCCTGGTCCAGGCTATCAGTCAAGCTTCTGCGGGTTCCTGATCACAGAACTACCATCGCAAACATGCTGTTTTCAAATACTGTGTTTTGGAGAGTTTAAACACACACATTTAACTTAGTAACACAAAGAGCACACTACTGTATTGTTATTTTTTCTCTTTTGCTCTTTTTGGGGGCCCCGCCACCCAGCTCTGATCTCTCCTCCCAGATTTCTCCTTCTATATATTCTCTCTGCCTGCCAGCCCCGCCTATCCTTTCTCCTGCCTTGCTATTGGCCAGCTCTTTATTAGACCATCAGGTGTTTTAGACAGGCACAGTAACACAGCTTCACAGAGTTAAACAAATGCAGTATGAACACAAGTAACATACCTTAAAATATTCTACTACACCACTGAATCCACTTTTGATCTGGAAGGTGGAATTCCAAAGTTCTTTCCCCAGAGTCCTTGCTGATTTAGCTGAGTTTTGCTTCCTTTTATTTTTCCCCGTGATAACATTTTTTCTGATATAAAATTATTTTATGGCATTTCTATGGACATGTGGACATTAGCATGGGTTTAGACTTTGAAACTAGAAAGGGGAGGGCAAACAGGTATTGAGGAAGTCCGTCGGGGACCATGGACGTGTGTGATGTGAGAGCAGAAAGAGGCTGCTGCAGAGGGAGGGCGTCCGAGGGGTGAGGGGCTAGAGAGGGGGCGAAAGGCCAACAAAGATAGTCCATGTCTGTAAATCTCATCATCAGACCTGATGCTTTGTATGTTAGTTTTTAATTAATTTTTAAAAACCTGTCATACCATCAAATACACTTGTAAATTTACAGCTCAATCTCTTGATCCCTTTCCTGAGGGTCAGTCAGAAAGAAGAAAATCCCCACAAATTTCAAAACTTCACTAATTTTGCTTAAGTTGATAATAAGCTGGTGGATATCACATATTGGGTTTTAATTAAATGTAACTTGCAAACTATCTCAGTCTCTTTCCCTTTTTAACTCATCTAATGCTCAGTGTACAGAATTATCTGGACACACAGCCTGCTATGGTTCCCAGGTTTCAGAAGTTCCATGAAATGCCCACCGTGGGAAAGCAGGTGCTGTGGTAAGAGGTAAAGACTGGCGCCTAATTGATACTCTCCTGTGGAAGGGCATCACCGCTCCAATGCTCATCATAAATTCTTATTCCTGCTGATGAATCTGCTGGGCTGGGGACTGCCTGATTGGAGCAGATGTATGTCAGCATAGCTCAGAGGGAAACAGTGATGCCAGCCACAGACTACCACCACAAAAAGCACTGTGCTTAATTTTAGATCCATGCATTTAAAAAAAGGAATCAGAGATGCTAACAGAAGTCTGCCTGGCTCTGATGACTCTCTGTCAAAAAGGAGATTGAAATAATCTGCCTGTGAAACTCCCTGCTCTCTTTCTAGTTAGGTCTAGTTTATATATTAAAAATTTTAGAATTATTTATTTTAATTTTATGTGTATGAGTGTTTTGCCTGCATATACATACGTGCACACGTGCATGTGTGGTGCCCTTGGAGAAGAGGGCATCAGATCCCCTGGAACTGGAGTTATGGATGGTTGTGAGCCACCATGTGGGTGCTGGGAATTGAACTCAGGAGCTCTGGAAAAGCATCTCTCCAGCCCCTACTGGCTACTATTTAACAAAAGGGATACTTCAGTGGCTGGGATGACTTTGAAGAGTGAAATTTCACTTACATTACTATATTACACGCTGTTTTATTGCTGTGAAGAGACATCATGACCTGGCAACTCCTACAAAGGAAAGCATTTAATTGGGGCTGGCCTACGGTTCAGAGGTCTAGTCTATCCTCATGGCAGGGAGCATGGCATTAGGGATGGCAGGCATGGTGCTGAAGAAGGAGCTCAGAGCTCTATGTCTGGATCCACAAAGCAGCAGAAAGAGAAAGCACTGGGTCTGGCTTGAGCTTCTGAAACCTCAAAGCCACCCCAGTGACATGCTGCCTCCATCAAGGCCACACCCCCAATCCCTTTCAAATAGTGCCACCCCCTGGTGATTAAGCATTCAGATACACGAGCCTATGGGGCCATTCTTATTTGAACCACTACAATTATCATATAGAATTTTTTAATTTAAATGCTGTATGACATTTTTGTCTGTCTGTCCCTCTGTGTGCTCATCGAGGTGTGTGAGTGAAGGTCAGAGGGCGGCTTGCATGAATCAGCTTTCTTCCTTCTACCCCGTGAGTCTTGGAACTGAAACTCAAGCCAGTCGGGTGCCAGTGCCTTCACCTGTGGAGCCATTGCGCTGGTCCTAGGACACGCCTCCTCTAGCGCTGCTTTGGTCTTGAGCACACTCTACTCTGTATAAGAATAAAATAAAATAAAAAAATCACAATGATAGAAAACCTCCTTTGTTTGAAAATCAACCACATTAAGAATTATTTGATGCATAGGATGTTATTTCTTATGGAATATTTTGCTCAGAGGAGTTGAGTAAATTCTTCTAAAAGCATCGGAGCTACTGAGAAGAAATAAGGCAGAGTCTTATTTCTAGCCATGTAGGCTAGTCTGGGTTTAAAGCCATAATTCTTCCCCCTAATGAGTGAAGTTTCTGTACCCCAGTATTGGGTTTCTCCACTGATGCAATAAATCAGATCAGGCCAAATTAATAAGTCCAGTTTTAATCTGAGCAAAGCATTCTCGGGTGGCCCCAGGAAAGAGGAGAAGGCAGGAGGGGAAGTCTGTGGCCAGACCTTAAATACTCTCCAGGAGGTGGAGCTGCTGCTTGGCGGGCTTTCTTTGGGCCAAGTCTGGAGAGGGGAGACCCCCAACATGCCAACCTTTTGGGGTACATATGGATGCCAGTTCAAGTCTGGCTACTTCCTGCTGGCAAGGGGCAACATGGGAAGGGGTGTCTGGAGTCAGTGGGGTCACACTCAGTGGGAGGTGTGGGTGAAGAAGCATTTGGTTAGCTGCCATCCTGGAGACCTCAGGCATCTGTTCCTTGGGGAGGCGGAGAAGGCAAGTTGCTAGGAGAAGAAATAGATTATTAACATTGACCCTGTGAGTGGGGATAGCCATGGGGAATAGAATGAAATGGAGATGTGCCCTGGTTGTACAGAAGGGGCAAGGGTAAGTGAGCCGGATGAAAAGGCAGATATGCCCTTGAGTCTGGAGAGGTGGTACCAGCACTGATGAGCTTGTGGGGATGGCACACCAAATCAGGGATAATGATGTGTTCCAGGAGTGCCTGAGCCGTCACATCTGCTGTTTCCCTGGAGGTGGGGAGTGCCTCCATCCTGTAAAGGTGTCAATAAGAGTTAAAAGATCACGGAGCTTTTTATGAGTGGGAATGTGGGTGAAGTCAACCTGTCAGTACTCTCCCTGTTGGTGTCCTCAAAGCTGGTGCAGGGGCTGGCATATCTGGAAGACCCCCTGCGGGTTAGCCTTGGCACAAGGAGAGGAGTGGACCTGTAAAATATGGGCATGAAGATGGGTGGGGTCGAAGAGGGTCTCTAGAGACTGATATTAGTTCCCACCAGGCCAGATTTCTTGATACAGTAGCAGAACTCTTTCCCCAGGAACCTGCAGCTGTCTGTAAAACAGCTGGAACAGATTCACACCTTGGTGTCATAGCAAAAGGCTGTGCCTTTGGATTTATCCTAGGGCCTGGTTTCAGTCCAACAAAACACATCTTTAAGTCTATACTTAGAGGACAGCCAGAGGAAATTTACTGAATGAAAGAGGTTGAGTGAGTGAAGGAGGAGGGAGAGAGGCTGAGGAGTGAGGGAGAATCAGAGTTAGATACACCTGCAAGCTTCCAAACCCTCTATAATGCTAACCTGTCTCTAAAAGTTGGAGAAATGTAAGGACTCCTGAAAACTGTTTGTGGCCAGTGCTACCATGAAGCCTGTGAATGAGGTGCTCCTGTTTGTACCGACAACAGGAAACTTAACTAATGACCCAATGAGCTACCAAGCTG